CACGGCCCGCATGGTCCTCATCATGGCCCTCATCATGGCCCTCATCATGGAAACGGTACTCACCGGGGCCCTCATCCTCCTCACCCCCCGCCGCCTCCTCATCATGGTCACCCTCCCTTCCCCTTCCCTGGAGGTCACCCTCCCCCTCCTATGTGCGCTCCCTGCCCCTGCGATCCTCATCATGGAAACCCTCCCCCTCCTCCACCTCCACCTCCACCACCTCCTCACCACCGGGGTAAGCCCCATCATGACAGGCCTGAACATGGTCATGGTGGTTTCGGTGCTGAGGATCATGAAGGCCACCACCCTCCACCTGTAAGTCTAATGCCTCAACCAGAAATTGAATTCGTCCCGCTAATTACTCTTCAGCCTCCTCACCATCCCATCATTGTCATCCTTGGAATCGTGACCATTGCTCTCGCTCTTTTCTGTGCTATTGCCATCGCCTACATTCACCGCCGTGTAGCGCGTCTCAGCCCCGAGGCTCGTCGTGCTATCCGCCGGGCATTTCGCCAAACTCCCGACGAGCGTCGTAAGAACTCTGCTCTGAAGGCTGCTTACCGTGCCTTTGTTACCCGATGGATCGAGAACGAGGATGATGAGAAGGAGGCTATGCTTAACGGTGAGCGACGCCGACGATCATCTTCCTGCAGCAGCGTTACCATGGAAGAGGAGATTGCTTCCTTCCGTGAGGCTGCTCAAATGGTTGAGGGCATCGTCGCTGCTGAGGAGGGCCAGCACAGCCATGCTCGTTCTTACAGCTACGCTGCCGGCCCCCCGGTTCCTCTCCCTCCCTCCCACCATACTGCTGCCACAGTATATCCCGGCTTCATGGAGACGGATGAAAACCTTCCTGCCTACGACGATGATGAGCGTGACTCGTCGGTTGTAGCAGATGGATGCCGATACACTCCTGGCAGCTCTGATTATACCCCTTCAAACTCCGGGTCCAATGCCAGCGATGTCCTGGGGGATACTAAGAACTAAATTAGACTCACAATGACCTTGGGCATGAATGATTTCCTTTGCATATTACTATGATACACCAGATTTCCTTATTTTGAATTTATGCGCATCAGATGTGGGATACTGGGAATTGTATTTACAAACAGCAAACGCTCTCGCTCAATAGAAGCTATAGCAATCTAATACCACAACTTGAAACATACACCTCTATAATACGCTCTTGTGCCTGATCAATTGTCCTTGTGCTTATCCACGCATGCTCTTCTTGTCTATCACCCGAATATGAACTCTTCGTAATTCTTGGCAATTTTCTTGGCGCCTTCATCAAGATTCCAGCCCTTTACCTCACAAACATGTCGGTACATGTCTTCCAATGCACTGTCCATTTGTTCGCCGGCAATGTGAAGATCACTCTCCACTAGAATGCTGTCGTCAGGCAAGGCCCGTAGTACATCATCAGTCTTATTTCGGCTAGCATCAGTGCTTAAATTGACAGCTGTTGACAGCGAGACAAATATACGAGCTGGGATCGCCCGGTTCAGATACTGCCTCAATACCTCGACACTAGCACTGAATGAATGTAGGCATATTCGAGGAGGGTACGGCTTCTCACTGCCATCGTCGTCCTCGTCTGAGAAGTCCTCAGCACCCGATGCCACAAGACGCCGCTTTCGTCGTGTTATAACTTCCCGCTCATGGCCCTTCCACGTTGCCGCAAGCGTCTCATACAAGACGCCATGAGCTTGCACGCCATGCACACTGACAGCTCTGCCAGTTTTTGCAGCAAGACGAAGCTGTGCGGCGAGAACATCACGCTGGTGCTCTATTTTCACCCTATAAGGGCTGAGCTGTCGGCCCTCACGACCCCCTGGTGTGAGTGTCGAATCTCTCTCGACATGTTTCGATGTCAGCCAAGGTTCTGGTAGACGAAAAGCCTTATCAAGGCCGATCTCACCAACCAGAACGCAAGGGTTAGCGGAGAGACGGGATTCGGTTGCACTGAGAAATGAGCTTATAGCGATAGGGCAAGGAAGAGAAGCAACAAAGTCTGGCGAGGGCGCTGGTTGTAGAACGGCATTATAATGCGCTTGTTTTGCGGCATTGTCAGTCTCGGACCCGGAGGTGGGCTGAAATGTCGGAGTGTCGGCCGAGTCGTCGTAGAGTAGATGGGAAAACCATGGATGCCAGCCAAAGGAGGGAATAGCACAGGTACCTGTTGCTTCCGAGTTTTCTTGAAAAAGTGATTTGAGATCAGGATTGGAATGTTTGCTAGCGACATCCGCAACGAGCTCCTGGTCCTGGGCACGTGTTGCCATGATGGTCAAAGCTGCTGCACGCATAGAGGGTATATCGGTAATTGAAGCCATTGTATCTGTTGGGTGGCAGTGGGCGTCGCATATTGGCAGATGCCAGGGGAATGGAGGTTGGTCCCCTGCAAGCTCTGGCTTGGACTGCTGAGACTCATCATGGTTATGGGTGTGGGTGTTTTGACACATGTTGGTGTTGATATCAGCGTCACAGTGGTGTCGAGATAGCGGGGTTTATCTAGCACTGCAGATGATGGAAGTTTACGTCCACAGAAGCACACGAGGTTGTCACCCTCAACGGCCAAGGTCTGGAAGGCTTGAGGCTTTGAAAGACAAGTTTGAGTGATGTCAGCGGGGGAAGCTGATGTGGATCATGATGGGGACAGGCATTATCGAGGCTCCAAGTGGGGTTAACTTATGATGAGATCGGTCGATACAGTACGAACATATCCCATAAGCATTCAGTCAATCTGGGGCAATTTGTTTTCATGCGGCGAATATAGGAGGTTGAGCTTCTTGTTCGTGAATGGATTTCGTCTGCCTCGGCTTGTAATCACTCATGTGACGTGTGTGGTTGATGTTGGTTACCGATATGCTTCAGTGGCTGTAAGTTGCTGTCCGGACAGTTTTTAGTGCAACCACCGATTCCAGGGTCCTGTTGTGTTACGGTCGATCTTCACTGGGCGCAAATACTCGGAAGTTCAATCAGTCCATCAGTTCATTGATATATCAGCATTGTGATAGGGATTTGATACTGGAAGTGCATTGAAAGACTCGTCATGATGTGCAATCATGCCTTATCGTTGCATTCCACCACTGACGTTGCTTTATCTGTACAGTTTGGTAGGTATCATTGACCCTCCTTCTGCCAACATGAGGCTTCCTCCTACCGTTTACTATCACTTGCATCTCTCCCCGGTGCAGGTTCCCCGCACGATCCTTCCCCGTGGCTTGTCGCGTTGCCGTACGACAGTCACCTCAGACACCATAAAAATGGGCAAGTGCGGCATGCAAACCGACCTAAGCCAAGCCAGGCCAAGGCGAGCCACCATTCACATGTGATTGCCTCCTCCAAGTGTAATCCTCCTCACCTTAGACCTCCGTCGTTTTCCTTTACCTTTAGGCAGTCTTCTCCTCTTTTCTTCCCATCTCCCGAGATACATAAAATTACGGCTTCTACTTTGCTTCAGCTACAGCTCGATGCAACCCTGTAGAGTCACATTCACCCTACACCGACGCTACATTCTCGCCGGCTCAAGCACCTAATCCCTCCGCGGCGCATCGTTTCTAGCTCCCCGGAAACAATCTATCCTATCACGACTTTGGGGGATGTCGACGCATATCTCGTCCTAGAGCAGCATCCATCCATTCTATGTACATATCGGTACTCTACACCAACTAGTCGCCCTCCTCTTGCTTCCCTTTCTTTTCCCCCTTCCTTCTTATACTTCCATTTCCACATCTTCTTTCTCCTTATAGCCCGTGCTTCCATCTGTAACCACTAATTATATCGTCGACAACCTCCACGCCTCTGTACAGACAGCACTCCTCGAAGCTGTTGTGGTCATGTGCTGCTAGTCTCGTTCTGTAACACCATCAATATGGCACTCCTCAACCCTGTATATGCCTTCGTCGTGCCCTTCCTGTTTGTTGTCACGGTTCCTCTTGCTGTCTTCGCTGGTATCACAACTACCATCGCTTTCTCTGTTCTCATCCTCCGAGTTCTGGCTGTGTATCTCGACGTTGCTCTCTCTTTCGTCCCTCACTATTTGGGTGGACGTAAGACTCGCCCTTATCATCCAAATACTTATCATCCTCACCATCAAATCCTCGAACCGGCACCTGCAGCGCTCTATACCAATCCTGTACCTCCTTCTGCTGGTTCAACAGCATTTGAGTCCTCCTTGCGACGTCGTCGACATAGAAGAAGCTCCAGTGCTCTATCCACGGCAGGCACTACCACTCCAATCAGCGAAAAGGGACTTGGCTTACTACCAAGCATTGGTCCAGAGCGAGACTTCGAAGGGGTTGGTGGCTGGCGTCTGGGTGGTGACGATGAAACATGGACTACCATAAACTCACGGCTTGAACTCCCCGACAAGCAACACCTTGGGCGAAATCATCATCGTTCCCCATCTGGTGGCCCCACGACACCTGGAGAAGGCGGGTATCTTATGATGAAGGGTCGCAACCGAAGCCCCGGAGCAAAACGTTTAGCATCTCCTAATAGCTCTCGTACAAGAACACCTTCTGGCCCACGGATCGCTTTTACAAACAAGTCATTCATTGACAGTTACTTTCCGAGTCTCAAAACTTCTCCGAAAGGACTGAAAAAACTCCCGACTCAGGGTGTCGTCGATGCGTAAGACCGACTCAGACTCTTTGCGTTATCGCGTAAACTATTATAATGATCTAATGAAAAGGTGTTGTTAAGGTGGAAAATGGCACGAGGACCAAAAGTGTCACAGAATATGGTAATCCGGGTGTTTCCATTGGCGTTTGAGCGAGGATTTGTCAATTGTCTGGATATATGATGTAAAAATAAGATATCAATGACTTTCGAAAGAAAATGACAAGGGCGAATTCCAATCTACCATTACTCATATACTGAACTGATACAATGGTAGCAATGTCCTATTCCTGGTATCTGCAACGCCTCCAACGCCAACCCAGCGTAAATACATTATCGTGATAACATTGGCCAACCAAAAAGAAGGGATTGTCTTCTTAGAGAGTCTGCCAGAAGTAGTTTGCGTAAAAGAATCGCGAGAACTTTTTGTCCATGTTGACAACATGCACGTCCCCTTTGCGATCATTCCGAATAACAGCCTTGGACCACTCACCGTCCCTGTCGTCTCTCTCAATATCGATGCCCAGGCTTCGATACACCTTGAGCCTCAGCAGCACCTCATCATCCACTGGATCTCTGCGTCGAGCATTGGCTGCCGCATCGCCCTCCACGCCCTGAAGCTCCAGCTCGCGAAGACGAGCCTTGAGGTCAGCGGCCGTCAGAGCAAGGCGCTCAGCGTCGGTTTCAGCATCAGCGGCAGCTTTGGCGGTACGGAATTTCAGTGTGTCTAGACGTGCGATGTTGGATGCGTGGTCCGCTGACGAGTGGGACGCAACGAGGTCGTCATGTCGCGATGTGTGTGTTGCGAGCTGCCGAGAGAGCTTCTTCAGTGAGGATTCTGCCTCACGAACGCGAAGGTCGCGAGCTTGTTGGAGAGTCGAAAGTGACTCTGTAACACGGGAGACGGCAAGTTTGTCTGGTGCGATATTGAAGTTTTCGATAGTATGATGAATGAGCTGGGTTTGTTAGCTTGGGCAAAAGGGGGCTTCAGGAGTAAGTACTTACAGTTGCGGGTTCTTCGGAGAGCAACATGTTTGCAGCTGATCTCGAGTGCTCGAATCAAGTGTGGGAGATTTTGTGTCAATGACAGCTGTAAAACACAATTCCTCTGCAGTCTCGAATGGTGATGATGGTGAACTTGGTGTTTTGCCAACGCAACTCCATTTTGGGCTAAACACGTTTCCGTCGTCACGACGACAATGAAAGCTTATCTTATCAGAAGCCACTTCTCCCCCATTTATTTAGCCGAGCTTTTCCCGTCAAGCGCACAGCGTCATCGGGCCCGCCACAGCCAGGCAAAGGTGAAGCCGAAAAGAGCTACCTCTGAATAACACGTGCAACCTCTATTACGTTACGTTCGCCATTCCACCTCGAAAGCCTCTTGATCCTGACCAAGATAATTGATACCAAGACTCCTATTCCTCCTATACAGAATACACCTTCACGTTCTTTGCCCTCAAGGACTTATTCTCTCAGAATGGTAACCGAACTACCATGTGAGTGTTAAACTGTGTGACGATATTCTAGCTTATACTGATAGCCTCGCTAGATGCTCTCGATGCCGAGACGTTAGTCCTTTGCTTTGAATATACGACGATTTCTTTATCCTGACTGACAGCGACAGACCGCTAAATGCCTCTGAGCTTAATGTACTAAAAACGCAATATGAGCGCGAGGGTGAGATGGTTGGCATCCAGACCAAGTTCAACTACGCTTGGGTAACCATCCTACGTCTTAACCTACGACTCATCACACTAACTGAACCTCAGGGCCTCGTCAAGTCCAACCAGCGAAACGACCAGCAGCTCGGTGTGCGTCTTCTCTCGGATATCTTCCGCATCTCCCCCGAACGACGCCGCGAGTGTCTCTACTACCTTGCCCTTGGCAACTACAAGCTCGGCAACTACGGCGAGGCGCGTCGGTACAACGACCTCCTTCTTGACAAGGAGCCTGCCAATCTTCAAGCATCCAACCTACGCCAACTTATCGATGACAAGGTTGCCCGCGAGGGGCTGATGGGTGTCGCTATTCTGAGTGGTGTTGGTGTTGCGGCTGGTGTGGTGGGGGCATTTATTCTGAGGAATGCTAGGAAGAGGTAGATGACGATATTGCTAGGGAGGAAAACGTGTAGGGATATATATTGCATGGGCGGTTTCTGGGACACTTTACTCACTCTTCACTATAACCTCTGGATTGGGCCCTCTTGGAGTCTTGACATTATGAGATATGCTTGCACTACAAAATGAAGCGACCATTATTACATACGTTAACCCACTTTATATAAGTTTATCATTAATCACCCTAATTCCATCACGGTACTAAGGTGACAGACAGGACATCGGCTGTTGGAAAGTCACATTCGATGAGGTAGTACAAATGTGCTATATGTTTTACTACGCGATGATTTTCACATGTTAACGTCACAGACAAATGTGTTGGAACAAGAAAGCTAGACAAATAAAACAATGTTAAGGAAACCAAGAAACAAGCCAGCTAAGAAACAAACCAAAGAGACGACGCATCACCATCTAGGGAATATCATCTGTCGAGACATAAATGACCATCCTTGTCTCAACAAATGTACGACTAAAATACAACAAGCTGCTGCTCGACAACTTCCTTGGCATCGCCCATCTGACCCTGTCTAATATCATCCATGACCAAGGCACCATTAAGCCCGAGGGAAAAGAAAGGGGTATCCGAAGGCAGAGTATATGAGCAGAGCAACAAGGTAATGTAGGCAAAGCACAAGGAGACAGCATGTCACCCTAAAAGAATATGGCGAACCAGATGCATAAAACATATTAGCACCTATAACGTCTCTCACAACGAGAAGCGCTCAGATTGAAACGCCTTTCGCCAGTTTCCCTGCTGTTCTTCTCTCCAAAAGGTATTCTCATGTGACAGATTAGAGGTGAGACCAACAGGTTCTCAGGTTTGGTTTGACTCAAAGCATGGTCAGAGAAAAACGCTTGCCTGCAACTTGAAGTCATACCGAGACTCCTGCAAAGCCATATAGTCTGCATCTCCCGTCTTGCATGACTAATCTTCATAAATGACTTTTGTTCCGTCTCCGTACGACAATCATTCCATGTGGCATATGTGATGTGATGTGATTAGGAGACAATGTTTTGTTTCTTAATTAAAAAAGGTGAGAGAAAGAGGCGACAAAGAAACGAGAATCGAATACAACGAGGGGCGTCGAGCTGGTATTGTATGGGCATCATGGGTACTCAGACATGGATAACGAAGGAGTGAAAGAATCCGCAAATCGTGAAGAGGCTGGAAGTTTAGCGAAGAGAGAAACCCTTTCGCTTGCCTTCCTTCTCTAGTGGCCGTCCGCTTTCGACTCGCTGCTTCTTGTCCTCGAGCTCCAGTCGTTGGCGGTCGAGTTGCTCCTTCATCTCCTTGTGGCGGGCGTACAGTTCCTCTTCGGATTGCTTGAGCTTGCTCTCCTTCTCGGCTACCTTCTGTTGGAAGACCATCTTCATCTCGGCCTCCATCTTGGCTAGCTTCTGCTCGTGCAGGGCACGCTCCTCCTCCTGCTTGACAGCAGGGTTGACCTCCTTGAAAACGCTGGGGTCTTGCGACACGCCCATGGCGAGCAGCTTGTCGGTACGGTAGTTCTCGTAGAGTTGGTTGTTGGTGTGCTCCTTGAGCTCCTCCATGTGTGTTCGGATGAGCATTTGTCGAAGCTTGACAAAATCACAGTGCTCCTCGTTATCCACCTCAATGATGCCCCAAGGGTAGGCACGACCGCGAATCTTGCGACCATCGGCGCTTGTGATCTCGTTGTTGGCACCAACAACAGCGAAGGGAACCTTGGACATGATCTCATTGTTCTCGGCGATCGTCTCTTCATCATCAAGCTCGTATCTAGGCCCCTCGAAGATCTGGATGCCATGGTGCTTGATATCGGCGAGAATCTTGGTTGGTTAGTAATTGAATAAAAGTTGGCAATCAAGCAACTTACTCGTGACTTGAAGGCAGCAATTTCCTCGTCGGTTAGAGTATCAGCCTTGGCGATGACGGGGATCAGATTGACCTTAGTATGAAGTCGGCGCATGACCTCAATGTCAAGAGGCTTCAGGGAGTGGCCGGTGGGTTGGATAAAGAAGACACATGCGTGAATACGGTTGTCAACAATGTTCATGCGGTTAACCTTGTTCTCAGCATCCAAGTAAGAGTCAAATCGCTGCTCGATGTTGTCGACGATAGGACGCCAGGACTCGTCGTTGTTGACGAAATCGCCGAAACCTGGTGTATCGACAACGGTCAGGCGGAGACGAACACCTGCCTCCTCAATGTCGGCACTAATGGACTGGATAGTAACAGTCTTGGGAATAATGTCGAGGCTGGGTCCCTTGCGCTCCTTGGGGGGGTACAGGGAGGTGTTGAACAGAGTGTTGACCAGAGTAGACTTGCCCAAGCCAGACTCACCTAGATTGGTGTTAGTCAAGATCGGTCACATTTCAATCATCTTGCACATACCAACAACCATCACGTTGAAGTTGAATCCCTTACGAACACTCTTTCGGTGCCATTGGTTAGGTAGGTTGGCAAAACCAACATAGCCAGTAAGCTTTCTTCGGACAATGTTTCTGTTGTCAGCCGGGGGAGGTGGCTGAGATGGAACTACACGACAGTCAGTACGGGAACCAAAATTCACGTAGAAGATAAACCTACCATTAGCAGGCGAGGCAGAAGGGGCCAACGCCGGAGATTCGCTGCCGGGAGAAGCTATTAAGAGACATGTTAGCATCCATTGCAACCACTGGTACTGAATATTATGCTGTCATAGGTAGAGACACAAGGAGAAGCCTGACTAGGTGAATAATCCGAACTCGTGTTGCGAGGATTTCCCCTGGTAGAAGCCTCGACTGCGAGATGATCGCGGTTGGGCTTCACATTAGCTATCTGTTCATCTCCAGTTGGCCCACTTGTTGCAGAATAGATATATAGTTCGTCGAATGACACTGGCTTCATAGGGCTTAATGTCGGCGGATCCTGGATGTCCACGTCAAGCATACTGCGATAGTGGCGTACTGTCGAGGGTCGAGGGGATGAAGGAGAAGATGGGCTTCCATCGTCTTGGCTCAATGGAAAACTAATAGTTCGCTTGGAATCCCGCGATACCTTTGGCGATGATCCGGCGAGAGGTGTGGTTGCCATGAACGCGAGATTTCTATCGAAATGCACGCTGCGGGTGCGAGCCTTGACGTGCTGTACCAAGTCGAATGTCATGATCGAATTTCAGGGGTTGGAAGTGCTGATTCTCAACGAGGAATGCTGTCAGGACCAAAAAGGGGGCTAAAAAGATAGACCCAAGAAATTGTAGATGATTCAGAAACGAATGTCGTCGAGCTTATCGGAAATCGATGGATTGCACGGGATGAAGGTCAAGCTTTTGTCGAGCTCCCGGAGAACAAATCATCCTCGTGGTCGAGTTCGGAGGCTCTTTCCGTGGTCTCTACCTGTCGCTTGTGCCATGTGGTCTGACACACGCGTGCATAAAAAGAAAGAATCCTCTTACCCATATTGAATTATCAAGAACGGTCGAGTTGAAAAGGCTCGTAGGAAAGTGCGTGTTTCTAAGTTGAAAGTTGATGGTTAGCTACGTCAGGGGAAAGGCCAGCTAGATAGATAGCTATACGAGCTTGGTGGAGTTGTCTCGAGGGAGACAACGAGAAGGGCCAAACGACAGCTGACAATGTCCGGGAAACAGGCGCAATGTGATGATGAGTGTACAGTTGAAGAGAAATCGAGCCGATCGAGGGCGCTCCTTCTCGAAATCGTGGTCGGGCAGTAAGGAGTGGGACGAGGATAGCTACTCACGGAAATACCAGGAGACGCGTGTCAATGAGCGTCGCAACGAGTGAATACGAAGAATAGAAGGCGGCCTCGGGTTTATCAACACGGGACCTACTCTCACGCACGATAAAAGGCGATCGAGAGAAGAGTAGCAATGATGAGGCTAGAAACGGGGGGTAGGGGAAAAAAGAGAGAAAGTAAAGTGAAGGAGAAGGATGGGAAATTTTGGAGGTGACAAGCGGACCAAGCAAGGAGACGAAATTCTGATGTGCTGTGCTGTTCTCCCAGCAGAGCAGCCTTTGGGCAGACAGCCGTGCTGCAGCAAAAGGGGTTTAGACGAGCTAGTCCAAGTTGGGGCACATGTGGGTCTCCCAACTTACATGATCCAGGGGCAGGCTCTGGAGATTTAGCGGACAGGGTCGCTGAGAGCCTGCTGTCGAACCTCAAAGGGTGCTGCCTCAGTGCTTATGATTGGTTCAAAAGGCACGGGTCCAATTAACGGCGCGGGACAGGGGTCGTTGAATGGTAAGATGGGAGATTGAGGAGGGAGAGCTCTAGCTTCACCTCAAGCAAATTACTGCATCTTGGCTATCGGCATATACGTACCTGTATCATGTTGTAAGCAGCCCTGCGGCCATGCAATTGACTCTCGATACAGCCTCTACTAAGTTAGAGCTTCTGTCTGAAGCTTGATATTTGAATTGCCGGTGAGGGCCAACAATGTACATATGCATGTGGCCGGACCTCCTTACATCGGTCCATTCCCCAGGCAAGCTTGGAGCTCGCCTGAGGCACCTGGTTGTTTCTATAAAGGGGAATGCTACTCTAAGTACCTGTTCCTAGCTCGCTTGTGCTTCAAGAATCGATAATCATTCTCATGCTGTAAGTTGCCTTGGGTATTGATAGGGGTTATTCTCTCCTATTCGAAAGAATTGTTCGATAGTTAGAGTCAATTCCTTCTTGAGTCTCTCATATGTGTCATTTGTCTTTGATCTACAGTATTATTATATTTTTACATTTCGCTATCATTGGCTGCTTTCTAGCGGTATAGCTCAGAACATTTACAATTGGACTTTATCGGAGACAGATTCCAAGACATACGCAGATCAACCGTTTCTGGAAGAGGTCAGGTTATCTTCTCCCTTCTCTCTCGTGGTCAGAATGCCGGCCTGATATTGGATCACGGGTTACCATGTTTTGAACTATTTATTTGCTCCTCATCCTATCCGTACCGTGGTCACTTTGATATTGCCCACTCACCGTCAAGTCCGGTTGCGCCTCAACCGCTCCCACGTCTGTGTTCCTCGTTTATTGGTTTCCTTTCCTCGTCAAAACATCAAACTTCCGGTCCATTCAAGCTGTTCCTCTGTGGGTCCGGGATCAATTACCCTTCACTGTGTTCTAGCTTCTCTTCAGTTACTATACTGGGCTTGCCCCCAGTAACCCAACATCTGTCATTCACGGAAGCGCGTAACAATGAATTCTACAGCACTGGTATGCGCAGATACGTGAAACCAATAGGCTTCTGCATGCTGATATGCCAATCCTATAAATGTACGACTGCATAAGTTTGCAAGAGTTCACTGCATCTGCCCGTAAATCAATTGTAATATCCAATATAGGTATCTTGTGAAAATCTTTGAGAATCCTACACGCTACCACCTCCATGCCCTTCTTCTGCATGTATGACACGAGGGTATATACCCGTACAGTTCAGGTTTTATATAAAGGGATGTGGAAAGGAGGTACTTTGTATACGACGTGTAATTACATTCCAGGCAAATGTCCCTAGTCCAAACGAGAAGTCATGTGAAGTATGTAGAGTTGACCTGTGAAACGTTTCGTATTAAACAATACATCACTACATTTATAATTTCCTATGTCTGTTCCAACTGTTTCTAAACTCAGATAATTGCATTCATAACTTCCAAGCACTCAATAGTTCAAACTATCATATCTGTAGTATTGCAACTATGTCTGCTGCAGATAAAGGCATAGTCACTGAGAGCATAAAAATGGCATCTTCTCCTTAGCTTCTCGTATTATTACGAGTGAAGCAGTTCCCGAATGAGGCTGGCCAAATATCTGCTGAGATGTTGCTATTGACTGGCATGGTTCTCTGCACCTTTTGCATGGACTTATTTGAGTTATAGCTCAATCTTTCTTCTCCCTCCACACTATAAGTACATCTCATTTGACCACGAAGTAAAGGTCAGAAATTATCACAGACTACTTAAAGTAAAGACCTGAAGACACAAGGTGCAACAATAGGTTTATATAAGACTTTAGGTTTGCTTGTAGTTAATAGACATATCAGTACAGGGTAGGAGAGCTAGCTTCAGTTCAACTTGTTCAACGAAAGTTAGTGATACCCAATGTCAGGATTCGAGGATCTAACACATATGATAACGCAGCACAACAAAGGATAGGCAGAAAAAGACAAGACATGTAGACTGTTACTTTTGCGAGTAGAATATTGTATCTATAAACCCCACACCGTTCTAAATGCCAAATAAGCACCGAAACCCTTCGATGCCTGTTTTAATTAAGATACACGCCACATTTTCGCTTCTAGTAAAGGTATAGTACACTGGTGGAGGAGCTGCCCAGATTTTGACGGCTCAAATTTATAGCATGATCAAATCGTCTCAGTCATCTTAAGCGAGGCCAGCCTGCTGGCTCGCAAAGAAGCGTTTCGACTCAGCACATCTCTCGCTCTTACACCCAGGGCATCGAAGACCCATCTGCTTCGAGCAAGCCTGACCTGCTGCCAAGTGCGCCTTGGCAATGTCGGCGAGAGCTTGGATAAAGACAGGACTACCGTTGAGAGACTCAACCCGCTTGACAGTTTCGGGGTGACCACTGTCGCCGATGACTTCCTGATCCAACTCATATAGAGTTTCAATATGGTCGGATGTGAAAGCGATGGGGATGAGCACCAGATCCTTCTGACCCTTGGATATGTAGTGCTCTACACTGTCCGAGGTTTGAGGTCCCAACCAGGCCGACGGGCCGACCTGAGACTGCCAGCACAGTCGGTAAGGGTTGGAGAAACCGAGGCGCTGCATGACGGCGTAGACAGTGGCCGCAACTTCAGCAGGGTAAGGATCACCTTGACCATGTTAGTATCTGTTACGAATATACGTGACTGAGCAACAAACCTCGGTTAACGACAGACATGGGTAGACTATGCGCAGAGAAGAGCAGCACAACATCCTTTCTTCGCTCCTCAGGGTATTCCGCAAGCTTGGCCTCGATGTTTTGGGCAAAAGCCTCGACCAATCCACTGTGGTTAGGCCAACGGTCGATTACACTCCAGGTAATGGTACCGTCACCGGACTCCTTGTTGGTCTTGCCTTCAAGCCGGTGCCTCCACTTCCACAGCTCATTCAAGCTACTACCTGTTGTTGAGCAAGAGTACTGAGGATATTGTGTGAATGCGACGGCGCGACCACCTTTTCCATTTCCAAAGCCGTCCTTCAACAGCTGCTTGTACATTTCTTCGGTTAACGGGTCCGCGTATCGGAAAGCAACATAGGGCTTGTGAGGCGCAGTCTCGGGAGAGATCTTGTCCAGGATCTTACACATCTCGGCGTTTTGGTATTCAGACCACTTTCTGATTGGTGATCCTCCACCGATGGCAGAGTATTGCTTGATGATTTTTGGTGTTCGCCGATTCGAAATCAATGGACCGAGATAGTTTTGTAGAGGGCCGAGAGGAATTAGATCGCCGTCGGCCTGTGGTGGTTGTCAATATACATGATCCGGGGGTCTCGGTGTTTTGTTAAATGACTTACAAAAAGGCGGCTCAAAAAGGCGCCAACCTCATCGGTCGTCGAAGGCCCTCCCATGTTGAGGAAGACCATGGCCGTAGGGCCCTTTGATCCAGTAGCATCTTGAGTGACAGGATGGACGGGAGTGGCCAGAAATCGCTTCTGAGTAGCGATTTGGGGTAGCGCAAGTCGATGCGAACTGGCCTGTGAAATGCTCTTGCAGAGCTGGCCTCCAGATCTTCGCAGAGCCATTGTCGATGAACTGTCACTGACTTCAAGAGACAAGGCGTGAAAGGGGCAAGAAAGTGCAATTTATTGATCAATTGGAAGTGGTGCGAGGTTTGGAATCATAAAACAGCTGAGGGGTGTAAAGAAATCTTATGTTACGTACATGCAACTAGTGCCGACGGCGATGATGCACGCATCTCCATGGGCTCCGGGATCGCCTACAATGCATCATATCGGGATTTGGCTGCTAGGAGTGACTTGCTGACCCCCCCGAGCTTCCGTGGTGTAACAGGTACCGCCGAACAGGGCCTCGCCAACCAATCACGCAATTGGTAATCGCTCAGAACTGTGCACGTGAGCTCGCGACAGGCAGCGCGTCGGACCTTGTCATTAGCTCGCGTTTGCCTAAAGCTATGACCCGCTAGCATGGGATCTCTCATCAGCTCTTAAAGTCAAGCTGACCCTGGGATGAGATTGATCGGGTTTCACTGAAAACAACAGACATCAATCGCATCAATATGGCTGATAAACAGCCCTGGCGAAAAGAAGACGAAGATGAGGAGGAGCAAGAACTCGATGAGAACGTGAGTTGATCGAACATTGGTACTCAACCCAACTCCATATTGATCCACCCATAGAACTATAAGGCACAGAAGGATGCCATCCTGCTTGCGATCGATATCAGCAAATCTATGTTAGAGCCACCGCCGCCCTCGGACTCCAAAAAGGCAGATCGTGACAGCCCTGTCCAGGCTGCCTTAAAATGCGCCTATCATCTCATGGAGCAACGCATCATTTCTAATCCCAAGGACATGATGGGCATACTTCTCTTTGGAACGAACAGATCAAAATTCCAGGACTCTGTAGAAGGTCCAAGTGGTCTAGGTTACCCTCATTGTTATCTTTTCACTGATCTCGACGTGCCTGCGGCGGAGGATATCCAGGCCCTCAAAACCCTTGTCGAAGACGGCGAGGATGAAGATGGGGTACTGACACCTTCGGATGAGCCTGTCAGCATGTCGAATGTGCTATTCTGTGCGAACCAGATCTTCACAACAAAAGCTGCGAACTTCGGCAGTCGTCGTTTGTTTATAGTAACTGACAACGACAATCCCCACGCATCTGACAAACAGGCAAAGTCCGCTGCAGCGGTACGAGCCAAGGATCTGTACGACCTTGGGATCCTGATAGATCTATTCCCTATCACCCGTGGAGATGAGAAATTCGACCTCCACAAGTTTTATGATGTAAGAATTGTTTTGAAGATACCAGGGAACCAGCTAACACGCAAAGGATATTATCTATCGTGACCCTGTTGGAGAGGCGAACATGACAGAAGTCCGAACCTCGAAATCTGGAAAAGGATTGACATTACTCAACTCGCTCATCTCAAATTTCAATTCAAAACAAACTGCAAAGAGAGCCCTGTTTTCAAATCTGCCATTCGAGATTGCTCCTGGGCTACGCATCTCAGTGAAGGGGTATAACATTGTTCATCGTCAAACACCAGCACGCACTTGCTATGTTTGGCTGGACGGTGAAAAGCCGCAAATTGCTACAAGTGAAACTACGCGAATTGCGGAGGATAGCACCAGGACCGTTGAAAAAGCAGAGATAAAGAAGGCGTACAAGTTCGGCGGCGAATATGTCTACTTCTCTCCAGACGAACAGAAGTCATTGAAGGATTTCGGATCACCCATCATTCGTATCATCGGCTTCAAACCGCGCAGTTTGCTCCCCATATGGGCAAGCACTAAGAAGTCTACGTTCATCTTCCCCAGCGAAGAAGATTATGTTGGTTCGACCAGAGTTTTCACAGCGCTCTGGCAGAAACTTCTCAAGGATGACAAAATGGGTGTCGCTTGGTGTATCACTCGAGCTAATGCACAGCCAATGTTGGCGGCCATCATACCGTCTAGAGAGCGGTCTGAAGATGGCTCAGGAACACCATATCTACCTGCTGGACTTTGGATCTATCCTCTACCATTCCAGGATGACCTGCGAAATATCAACCCACCAAGTGAAGTGCTGCGAAGTTCCGGAGAACTTACGACACAGATGCGGACTATCATCCAGCAACTCCAGCTGCCAAAGGCTATGTACGATCCATTGAAATACCCCAACCCCGCGTTGCAGTGGCACTACAGAATCCTTCAGGCCCTTGCTTTGGAGGAAGAGGTACCCGAGAAGGCAGACGATGCAACGGAGCCAAAATACAAAGCGATCAGCAAACGAGCAGGTGGCTACTTGGAAGAATGGTCTGAGTCTCTAGAAGAAGAGTCTGGTAAAGTTGCGAACAGGAAATCAACAAAACGTGAAACGGACGATGAAGACATGGAAAGACCGGTAAAGAAATCTAGAGGTTCATCAGAGAAGGCAACTGGTTCTTCCTTCAGTATGGCTCAATTGAAGGCCGCAATCGAAGGCGGGACAATTCAAAAAATGACTGTCGCTCAGCTCAAAGATATACTAGCTACTAAGGGTATGAGTACTGCCGGACGAAAGGTAGAATTGATCGAGAGAATCGAGGAATGGATAGAGGAAAGTTCATGAGACTGAGGTCGAAGGGCACAATAGTGTGTATTATTGGTGCTTTATATGAAGAATGTGTGGCCGGCGGAATGGGCGTTTATTATGCTACTTTGTAAGGGCATTGTTTATCAACTTGCGAGCCCTTGATCATATTGAATCAAAACACTAAGGAGAATGACCCCGCTCATTTATTTCTTATTGTGACTGTGATTGCAAGCCTTTTCTTTCTACATGGAAGCTTTTGAAGCCTTCGAAGCTTTCGCAATCACTTCCTTTTCATCGCATTCAACAAAGCTTCATTTACTCGGTAACAACACCATCGGTTGAACACCCTAACAAACGAATCATAAAAACTGCCAGAGTTCATTTCTATTCACTTTGATCTGAGTATCTATTTGAAAAATTCCAATATGAAACATGGCGACTGCAGGCGGGAGGATAGATTCATCCTCTATACTCACACCCCCTTCAGCACCCGTTGGTGGTTTTCAGTGGCGAAGCGCTCAAGTCACGCCCACTAAACGTCAGCTAAACACTCCCCGGCCCCTAACCCCGTCTATCAAATCCGTAGCTCCACCATCACCCACCTGCGCGTTCGTGAGCCCGCAAACGCCAGGACAGCTTCGTCCAAGCATCGCTTCGGCAACACTTGTCACCTCATCACCTCAGAAGGAGCCGGGCGCTGACGAGTATAACTCAAGGCTGTTGCGTTTGGCGCGACGCCGGCCAACTTGCGAGCAACGAAAGACCATGGCCGATTTCCTCGCAAGCCTTGGTCTTGGCGGCGCGCAGACATCCGCCGCGTCAGGTAACTCGCAATGCGGTTCGGTCGAGGAGCTCCAGCTCAAACTACGAAGCATTCTAGATGCCAAGGCGACACCGACACGGGCCGAACATGTGGCTTTGACGATCGAATTGAGAGCCACGGTACGATTTCAGTTGCCTGTATCCGAATCCGAGAACGGGACACTCGAGAGCCTGAACAACATCGATCCATCACTGGGAGGAGCGCAATCTGTAGGAACGAATGGAAATCAGGATGAAGGGCAGCTATCGCGCGTGGTCTTTGCCAATGATACGCTCATGAATCAGCCGCAGGACGATCCGACCCTGCAACGATCTGTCGCAAAACATATCATTTCAATAATCAGCTCAACCGATGGGAGTACATGGACCGTTCGAGAGGTGTCGCGCGGTACACAGGGTTGGACTTTTACGTATTTGTGCAAGGAATCGTATCAGCAATGGACTCGACAGAATGCAAAGAACCAAACGAAAACAATAGTAGGAGAGTTCAGTCAGAGAGAACCTGACCCTGTTCTGCATGGTAAGTTCAGAGCGCCATACGAAATTCTCGACTGGCTGACAATGAGATAGCTCGGCCTGCTTTTGACTGTCGAGGATCTATCACGATTGCCTTTAACCGCGGCAGTCGCTCCATCACCGTAAAATACGACCATACTCCCTTGCACAAAACAGTTGCAGAGCTGGCAGCTCACTTCAAGCCTGCTCCTCGTCAACTGGGACCAGGCGCGCAGAGACTCCTAGAACAGCAGCAGAAGGCAAAGGAGAAGACGCCGAGGAAACCTAGAGGTGAGAAGAAAGACAAGAAGGAGCGAAAGAAGCGGGATTCTACGGTAAAGGCGCAAGATGAGAATGGTAATCCCCGGAAACGAAAGAAGAAAAACAATGGAGCATCCCAACCAGCGGACTCAGTAGACGGGCCGATGATCCCTCCAGATTATCCTGGGGCACCAGCAATCGATGGGCAAAATCAAGGGGTCCCATCGTATATGAACGGCGGAGAAGCGCCCGGCAATATTGGGCAGCAAGGATTCAACGATTATCCTCAAGGATTGATGGGGGACGCAACGACGAATGGAACTTCGTCTCAGCAGCCAAACGGCCAAATGGCTTCAGTTGCTTTTCCAGTTAATGTCTCAGCAGCTGAAGCAGCACGTCGAAAAGAGGCAGCCACGACAATGCTCAGCAACGCTGGTGTCGATCCCACCACATTGTCTCCTGAGCAGTTTGGCATCTTCGCCAACCAAGCACCAGAGTTGCAACGCGAGTCACTCAACATGCTTGTCAAATACGGTGCAGAACGCCTACGCATTGTCCATCCCGGCAACAAGGAAGGCTCAACACAGGCAAGCTCTTCAACACAGAGCAGTCAGACAACTTCAACCGGACCTAGAACTACCAAAGAGCTAGTGCCACAGTCAAGTGCTCAGAGCAACGCGAATACAGATACTGAGACAGCAGTAGCTCAGGCTGCTGACGACACTTCCACTCCTAAGCGTAAGAGGAAGAAGATGGGCAAGTCGAGAACAGCCTGTTTCCCATGCAAGGCACGGAAAACAAAGGTAAATGCCACTCAAACTAATTAGACGCTATTGAACTAATAGGATTAGTGCCCGAGGGAGAGACCAACCTGCACCGAATGTGCGGATCATGGGACTGCATGTGAATATGCATTACAGAAACCAAGAAACAGGACAACAAAACCCAAGAAGTCTGAGACAATCGTTGTTGATGATGATGAAGATGAAGATGGCGATGAGGAGGATGAAGAGGTAGAGCAGCAGGAAGATGCCAAGGGAGAAGGTTCTGAGCAGGAAGATGACGAACAACAAGACACTTCACAGGACTACTCATACCCTCAGATGAATATTGGAAACATGGTCATCAATACTGATGCAACAACTCAAGATACCCAGTCCACACAGAGCAACTACTACCAGCCTGCTTCCGGGCTAGTTCTTCCTCAGCCAGACCCTTACTCGACCAGCTCTCAAGCAATGAGCACATCGGTACCGCAGAGAGGTAACTACTCTCATAACCTGCCAGAAGTTACACAGCCCATGGTCCACCCGGCCCCCCCTATCCCAGCACCTGCTGGTACGATCGCCCCCTCTGAAACAAGGCGATGGACTGCCTTTGGTAGCGGTAGTGTTGGTGGAAGTAGCACCACCAGCAAGACACGAAGAAGTCTTCCGTCTGAGCCCAGCCAAGCCAATGTGCAAAACATGCCTGCAAACCCACAGCCATCGGACTGGGCTCAAACTCCCAACACGACTATGCCTGGAACCACAATGTCATCTGTCTCTCCGCAGATGACATACGAAACACGCTCAAGTGGGAGGACTCGACAGAAGAACCAGAGTCTAACAAATGATACTCCCAAACAAGCTGCACTGCCCAACACGGTCATGCAACAGGCCCAGGCACGTCAATCGCCCGTCGCTGCCGCAGCCATGATGGCACAGACCCGTAAATCCCCCTTTCAACAAGCTGCGGTTCCTCGCACGACTTCTAGAACAAGCCAGCGAAACCAGTCTCGTACACCTGTAACTGAACAGGCACGGGGCTACCAGCCTCCTCCCGACATGACTCAGCAGCAGAACCCACGAGGGAGTGCTCATTACGATACATCGCATATGTCCGGTGGTTCTGGCTATAATGACTATGGGCGTTACAACAGTACTAGCACCAGCGGAAGCCATCAACCATCGACCACCATGAGCACATCCTATCAGAGTACTCCTTCCACTGCAAACCAGTGGTCTAATTCTTCGAGTCGAAACGATCGCCCACATGGCACAAACCCATCATATCAAACACCTAATATTTACGCACAGACAACAGCGTCTAAACCAACGGCGGCATCCCGCCAGAACTTCAACATGCGTTCAAACACACAACAGCATACTCGTGCTAGCAGTGGTTCATATAACCAGCAGCAACCACAACAGCAGCAGCAGGGTTACGCATCATACTCTGGATCTACACATCAAAGCCAACAGGCTCAGACATCAAACCAGCAACAGCCGCCTAGCTGGTACTTCCAAAACTCGCACAACCCTTCTGTTCATCCTGGGGGCCAGTCATCTGGCTATAACTATGAGCCATGGTCAGGCGTTTAGGAGCCATGGTGCTCAATTGTACACAACTAACTATTCATCTATGGCTTATGAGCGGTGAAGAAATTGCTATGGATGGGTTTGGCGAATCGGTTTATTTAGCACAATTATGGCATAAACAGGAATTGGGTTAGGGCCCTCATCTCTGCAGATACCCGGCAATGTTAGACAATCGAGAATCGTAGGTTGTCACATTTCTTCTTCTTTTCACCTGATGGATGTGATAGTATCTTTGAAAAATCACATAGCTTAAATCATTATTAGGTGCTACTCAGCTGATCATTAACCTTGACTCATGTATTCCTCTTAAGTCCCGCCAAATTCCATGGTATTTCCATCACATTATTTTCCAGTCATTCGTCCAGTCATACAAAGTATTCCCGTAAGGTATTCAGATAGGTTGTCGGTCTTTGGATGTAGTTTGTCTACTCAACATGGTCCGAAATAGCAAACTTGCTGAGGGATCGTAGCTTGCCACCGTAAAAGTATAGCAGCCAAATACCAATGATACCGATAACACTTAGACCACCGAGAAGACTGGTACCCTTAGCAACACCGAGATTGTCAAACAAAGGCTGGGCAAAGAGAACACTGCCGCAAGCTAGAGCACTTCGGAAGAAGTCATTCGCTGCGAAGAGACTGGCAGCATACATTGGGTAGCTGAGAGGAATGTACACAAAGATACACTGCATGACAATAAAGACTGTAGCTCCGTAGATGGTGATGCCAATGGTGGGCACGATCCAGTGAATAGAGGATCGAGCTGTCCAGGCAAAAAGGAACAAGCCAATGGTAGGACCAAGGGCGGCTGGTAGAGCCGGAACAAGACGACTTTCTTGAATGGGCCAGCCACGCTTAGCGATGCGAGGGTCCATGTAAAAGTAGAGGTAGGAGAGGTAGAGGCCTACGCCAATCATACAAGAGACGAGAACGCAGAGGAAGACGAGACCGATTTGACCAAGGTTCATGTTGTAGTAGACTGGGTAGACACGAGGGAAAACCTCGAAGACTGAGAAGAGTTAGTTATCGAGATGCCAATGATGTGGTGGAGCGAACTTACATGAATAGTAGATACCGTAGATAATGGCAGTGTAGACCTGAACGAACAGCACGGCAGGATCCTTGATGGTGATCTCCATAGGCTTGATGAGTGCATCGACAGCAATGGCAGAGACCTTCATATGGCGCTGGTCAATCTCACTCTGTGACATGAAGCGTTGGTTGCCAGTGAGCTTTCGAAGACGCTCTGCTCGACGGAGGAGAATGTTGGCACCGCTGGTCTCAGGGAGGAGAAGGAACATAAGGATGAAGATAGGGGCCGAGGCCCAGATACTCTCATAGAGAGACCATCGCCAGTTCTTTGCGGGGACGGCGAAACCGCTGATCAGAGGACCAAGAGCAGCTGTATATGTTAGTTGAAAGCAAGAGACAATGAGAGTAAAGGAGACTTACGACCACAGTAAGCAGCCGAGACCCAGGCCATCATGGCATAGGGGAGAGCCATGAGACTGTAAATGTCTCCCAGTGAAGCACCACCAGAAGCCAAACAAGGCGAGCCGAAGAAGCCCTGAAGGAATCGAAGAACCATGAGACCGGGGTAGTTGTCTACTAGTGCTGTTGGGATAGAGATGATAACAAAGAGAAACATCGTAACAATGTAAACGGGGTTTCGTCCAATGCGAGGAATCTCGCTCAGGGGTGAGAAAATCAGAGGGCCGATACCATAGCCCAGGACATATAGAGCAAGACCAAGCGAAGCTTTGAGTTGACTAACTCCAAAAGCGTGCATTACACCTTCAGTTGAGGAAGTGTAGATCGCAGAGGATGTATAGACGACGAAGGTGTATAGGCAGATGATGAGGGAGACACCTAGGCGACGGTTGCTGGTCCAGTTATGAGGATTCTCGTTGTCGTCGCTGAAGTACCAATCGACGAGGATAGAACCATCCTTTGTCCGCTTGGGAACAACAGGGATAGACTTGACCTTCTCGACATCGTGCTCTTCGTCGGCCTCGAGTCTGTCGACAGTGTAGGCTTGTGTTTCTTGGGGAGATCGTGAGCGATGGAGTCTCATGGGCTGAGGATCAGCACGCTCGATGTCGTCGTTCTCATTGTTCTTCTCGCTCTTGTCGTTCTTCTCATTGTCACCCTTGAGCTTGGGATCTTCCTCTGCTGCAACAGTGGATGAGGCTGAGGATGCGAGAGCTGTACCAGTGAGGACTGTGTTGTCGTTGGGAGAAGACTCTTCAATGATGGCGTCGGGATTGTTGATCACTGCAACCCAAGACTCTGGGAGCTTGAAGTCAGGCTTTTCTTCCGGGTACTGGAGATATTTGTTGCGGGTGACGAAGCGGATGAGTTGCCCCAAGGGAGCATCTCTGATAAGGTCTGACATATTGATGTATTATCTTCTTATCGAGATAACTGTTTCAAATGGGGATAAGAAGAGGTTATTAGGTGGGAAGGGTTCTCTTTAAGCTTATTATGCTAACTGAGATCTGGAGTTCAAATCTCATGAGGTATGCACTCGTCTTATACTCATATTCTCTCCCACTCGCCTGCTCCTCTGCAAGCTCTTACACCACGGAGCTTAGCAATCCGGAGTTAGTCACCCATCATGCTGTAATGCAATCTTAGCCCTTCCACATGTCTTTGATATGGACCATACGAGCAAGCATAACTCTGTAAGCCACTTTCGGACTAACATGCCTGACGTTATTACCAATCCCTGCTCGGTGCTCGGCCTACTTTATTATCCTAGAGGTGATCAACAAGCTGCAGGTTTTGGAATAATCTGGACCTAAGCGGAGTTTAGGGCTGACATTTAGGATTGGAGGGTGATTAGTGTTTATCACCGCCGGGGTGAGGTTTTGCTTATCTGCGTGAGCACTTACACTGTAATACTGTATGAATTTTTACTTTAGCCTGTGGATCTATTGCGAATCGAGTCGGGCTTCTTACGTTTTGGACTAGTCAGGCGAATCTACACGGTAGTTGAATTTGTCTACAGTAAGATTGATGGCCATCTGGAGACTGAATTCATATGTCGTCATTGAGATCCGGATGCTCGGCTGCCTTTCTCTTAGACTGTTGTTGATCTGTGAGCACTAACACGACGATATGTACATCTTGGCTGCTTACTTTGTCTTTCATCTCTGGATCTCAGCCTATATCTATCTCTTTGGCTCTTCCCCTTACGCATGTCTCTCACCTCAGCGGTAAGCTCCAAGAGCCCGCCAGCTCATAACATGCATGCTCAGCAAGTAAAAAAAACCAAAACATATCTTGAACCCCAAAGATCAGCACTAATGACCTAAATGGGTGAGACCCTCCGCCATCTGCCGTCAAAAGCTTAGCAATCGTCCCGGGGACGTGGTGCCAAGATCACCCAATCAGAAGCCTCAAGGCCCCTGGATTAATCACCCTCGGTGTGACGTCTCCCCGGTCGAGGAGCCTCAATTTTCCTTGCATGCCGAGACTCTGCGGAATATTAATCACGACGGACCAACTCTGAATTAAATATCGTTGCTTTCAAACCGGAGGTTGAATATGTGTGTACCATTTCATGTGACTCATGGAACTCGTCCTTTTTTCGGCCGAACCGTGAAATCTCTTCTTATATACCCCAACAATATCTTGAGTCCTCCACACCATGACAGCCAACACCTTTCCCGGGGTTGGTAGGGCCTTATATCTCACTGACTGAGACCCAAACGCCCCAGCTACTCCAACGATCAGCGCCCGCTCCCCAGCCTGATAAGAATCATACTCAAGCTAAAATACAAATACAAATACATCGGATAGCCCGGGACCCTGCTTACTGTAATGACACTTCAAGGCCAGACATGAAAGCTCAGAGGTCGCATTATTATGTTCGTCACGTCATTGACGCTCATGCACAACAGCTGGCCGGCTTGACGATAAGCTCAAAAACACACAGTAGCTAGTTGATAGGCTCAACGTCGCCCGATGCTGACCCTGAAGTGCAACCAGAGACCGGATACGATAATGTAACGTAATAGTCTCTTTCCGGTGCATTCTTGGCCCTAGAGTCTCATCTTTGAGCTGATGTCTATTGACTTATGCAGCATAGCATCTTATCAACTGCTTGCTCTCTTCTGAATGCGCCGTCGTTGAAGCTCCTTTCGTACCATCGTAGCTGGTGCGTCTTGGCCTTGGTCTAATAGGTCGACAATCTTCCACACTCCAGGGTGCTCTGCATCGAGGGCCAGCTTGATGAATGGCTCGACCCAACTTGCAGACCTCCAGGCAGGGTAATCAGGCGCTGCATTCTTGGCATAGTCAATGAACTTGAACGCCAGGTCAAAATCGCCCATCTGTGCGCAGGCTGGGATTATCACGTCAAAGGCAGGGCCCGCTTCGACTTGGTCCATCCAAGTCTCGGGGACTGTGGCATCGTCATTGCCTTGATCGTTCTTAGTCTTCTCATTCCCTATTGACATCGAGGTGGTGTCAATCTTGGCAAGCTCGGAATTGTAAGCCACTGCGAGGTCATACTGCGTCGTTGTTTGGCTGGCATGACGAAGAAGAAGCCCAATGTCTGACAGTCGGGGACTTTTCCCGGTGAGGAGGTGCATGTCATTGAAAAGGTGCATAGCAGCTTCTGAAGCTCGGGTTCGAGCCAGAGCCTCGATCGTAACCATAAGGACTTCCTGGGGAACAGGCCCCTCTTTGCGCATGCTTTGAATAGCAGCCTCAGCTTCGCTAATAAGATTGCGGTTCTTGAGTAAAGCCCGTAGAACGGGCATTGTGGTTTCTCGGAGAAGGATGCGCCCTTTGTCCTGTTGCAGATTCAAAAGTGTAAGCGCACCCGCCACATCCCCCGAATTAGCGAACGCTTCTACCATAGCATCATTATGCCGCTGGCGAGGCTTGCCACGAACCGCCAGCTTCTGAAGAGCTTGGCGGGCGAGTTCAATGTCACCGTGCCTGGCCCCGGTGGCCAGAACGTTCTCAATAATACCACCGGAAGGGCTGTGAACTGGGATATTGACAACATCTCGCCATACGAAAGTTGTTCCTTCGTGGTGGAAACCCTGGCTGAACATGTCCAAGGCCATCAGCTGGATACTTCTGAAAGCACTGTCGGAACCGTGGGCAAACTTTCGCTTCTTGAGGACGTGAAGCATTTCGTCGAAAAACCCTTCTCTGCCAAACTCCAGAATAAAGATATCATAAACCCAAAGATCCACATGTCCTGGCTCTTCTAAAAGCTGGTCGAACTTACTCAAAGCCAATTCAAACTGGCCTTCTCGTAACATCGCCACGGCAATACTTTGTTTGGCAGGCATCGTGAATTCGAACCAGTGCTGCTCCATTATCTGCACAACTTCTTGCCGCAGGATATAGTCTGGGTGTACACTAAGAGCTTCGAGAGCAAGGTAGCAAATATCCGCAGTAAGCGGGACATTTTGAAAAGTCATATCGTCCAATAATTTGCGAACTCCTTTGCTAGACCCCTGTGGGTCGGCCATAGCAGTCATCAGGCTCTCATAGATCAAAGCATCAGGGGGATAGTTGCGGTGTCTGAGAAGAAATCTAACGATATTCAGGATTCTTAAATATCTGTTGGTAGGGAGACTAGAATTGCCTTTCTGTTGTGGCATCCGTAACCGCCTGAGGGCGTCAACCATCACTGGAATTGATACGGTATTCAAGTCTGGCAACACCTTAGCCAGGGCTGGGTTTGGGCCTTCTGGCTTGGCTTGTTGATCAACATGTTGCCCCATCTCTATACTCTTTTGCTGAGCTTGCCCGGGCTCACATTCGCGGGAAAATGTATTCAATGATCCCTTCTTCTCTCCAGAGTCCGAAGACATGGCCTGGTCAAGTTCATCCTGAAACGAATTCAACAAGTGATCATTGTCGAGAAAACCTGTGATTTTTTGGTCCTTGGCTATGTCGGTCCCATATTGGCGATTTTGAAATGTTTTTAGATATAGAGGCCATCGTCCTGGCCCTGCTGATCTCAGGAGTCTTAGTGAATGAGGCCTATAAGATGCTTGGCAAAGACAGCGTCGTAGACCATTATACACCAATCGTGGACAAGGCATTCTCGCCGTACGATTATGTTGCCAATGTCGATGCTGAGGAATGGATTCTGCCGATAATCGAATGAATTCTGTACCTTGCATACCTACAACTAAGGCGGCGGCAGCTTCAGTAAGGTATTTGTGCAACGACCACTGTCGCTAACGGGGCTATGCATTCTACGAGGCGTTAGCCGCTCACAGCCGCTCTCACCTTGGGTCTCACCGAACAGGCGCGCTCCACTGAGCTTGTCCCATTCTCAACGATCCGTTTCCAGCACCGCATCATAAACCACATTGTTACGACGCAACAAATTAGACCATGGTACGTTTTAATTACCCTTGACCCCCGATGGTCACCATTTAAAACCCTGATCATCTCAGCGCACAATGTTCGCATAGCAGCAGCTGACAGCGAATAGCTACCCCTCGGACTACTCAATGCGGCCCAGGGCCACCCCATGCTCGTTGAGCTGAAGAACGGCGAGACACTCAACGGACATCTGGTTTCGTGCGATACATGGATGAACCTCACACTCAAGGAGGTGGTACAGACAAGTCCGGTATGCGCCCGCAGTCACGAACGCGATACCTTCGAACAGGATATACTGACGGGCTGAGTACAGGAGGGCGATCGATTTGTCAGGTTACCAGAGGTCTATGTCAAGGGAAACAATGTACGTTTCAACTGTGCCATGGAGTATTTGCCTAGAAAAAGATACTAATGTGCAGCAGATCAAATACCTGAGAGTACCCGACGAGATCATCGACCAGGTCAGCGAATCACAGAAGGGCCAGCAGGGCGGCTTCCGAGGCGGAAGAGGGGGACAGTCAAGGGGAGATCACAGCGGCCGTGCTGATCGTGGACGCGGTCGTGGTGGAAGAGGCCGAGGCCGAGGTCGGGGTCAATGAGATAATTACGTGGTTAACGATGATATCTACACCTTGAACCAACGGTCCTAGATTTCACAACACCTCCCAACAAGGCATAGTGGAGTCTTCGATACCAAAGAGAAGAGGAGGACCAAGAAGGTTCTCTGGTATCACCGCATGGACATCTCAACTACCAGTTTGGTCGCGGCCCTGTTGGTGGGCTGTAGAAGCTCGGGATGAGCTCTAAACAAGCTGGGAAGAATAACCCAGTCTATGTGCCAACAATTAATGACATATGTCTTCAAGTCAGCACAAGACAGGTTCCTAATTTTAGTGTTTTGCGCTCGCTCGTTTGAGTGCAGTACGTTGACTAAGCAAGTACAATTGCAAATGATCCATCATAAATTCGAAGCCTAAAAATTCGCGTCCACTCCCATGGACTGAGTATCAACTGACCACTGAAGTCCATGGCCTCAGTTCATGGTTATAAAAACTGGCCCATGGCTATCACAACAGGGGATTGTGGGGAACTGTAAAATTGTCTATTTCATGCGTAAAATTGTTTTACCCAGCGCAGTCTGCGCCAAGTTCTATCAACACCATAGGCCCAGTATGAACTGTAGCCGGCAACATATATCATCAAAAGAGTCAGGCATTATATCGAAACATCGTTCATCAAACGCCCATTACAAAGTCCAAAGTAAACCCGTACAGCCCGTCCTTCTCATTATATTCACTTAAAAGTTGGCGACAGCCACAGCGATAGCCTGGCTATCAGAGTGTGAGATGGACAGTGTGATATCCTTCACACCGGCCTTCTTGGCGGCAGCAGCAGCCTCACCATGAAGCTATGCATGTTAGCATCTTCCGTGTTTGACTTGAATAAAGGTGACTTACAGAAACAGTGGGGGCACCGTTCTCTCCCTTGACAATCTCAATGTCCTTCATAGCGGCACCAGCGCCTTGACTAGCGACGCCAAGAGACTTGAAAACAGCCTCCTTGGCACTCCAGCGGCCGGCGAAAGAGCTCTGGGGGCTGGGAGCTTGGCGGCAGTAGGAGATCTCGTTAGCGGTAAAGTTACGCTCGACGAAAGTGTCGTTGTCGATGTTGACAGCGGCAATGTCTTCAACATCAACGCCAACCTGGCTGTTCTTGTTTGTGACCTTGAGGGCCAGAGCTTCCATGACTTGCTCAGTCTCCTTAGCCTTGGCTGATGAAACAACCTTCTCCGACTTCTTCATGAAGTCGGGTGCATACTTCAGCTCGGATGACTTCTTGTCCTCAGAGACACGAGCATCAGGGTTGAGAAGAACCTTGCTGAGCTGGTCGTCAGAGTAAGGAGAGTTGTTCTTGGCGACGAACAGCTTGTTGTTGATGAAGCCATCGTGGAAGTATCGGTAGGCCTTCTTCTGGCGAGCATCGACCTTGGCGCAGTATTCGGCGTAGGTCTTCTCATCAAGAGTAGCAAACAGGTACTTAGGGTGGACACCAATGGCCTGAGCACCCTTCTGTCCGAAACCGAAAGAGGTAACGGAGAAGGCCTTGACACCGTCGGTCTGGATGCTGCGGCTGGGGTAGACGATGAGGTCGTACTGCTCCATGACGGGATCAACGTTGTCGGCGTTGCGGTTTCCAGGAACAAGACCGGTGTCGAGGACCTGGAGACAACCGTTCATCATCCAAGCGCCAGCAGCACCCTTGGGGTGACCAGTGAGGTACTTCTGGAAGATACCCAAGACAGCGTTGCCCTTCTTGCGACCAAGATGGCGAAGCTGCTGGCAGATGACATTGGACTCGTTCTTATCATTGGCCTTCGTAGAGGTTCCGTGGAACGAGGCAACACCGATATCGTCGACGGTGAGACCCCATGTGGCGAGGGCACCGCGCAGAGGGGCGATGCTAGGATCGCTCTTCCAGAAGTTGTTGCCCATGCTGCGGAGAAGCTCCTTCTCCTGTCGGGCGGCTTCCTTCTCAATGTGAGCGAAGCGGTCCGCGGCATACTCCTTCTCGTCAAAGGAAGCGCCCTGAGACTTCATGGCATCAATCTCGTCATGAACATACTCAAGCTCCGACTCTTGCCATTGCTTGATAGTCTTCTTGCGACGCTCGATCTGGCGGCGTCGGTAGTTGATGTCCAGAAGAGGCGAAGGGAACTTGCCAGGGTTCTCGCGAGCTGTGGTGAGAACACCCTGGCCTGGAGCGGGAACGGAACGGCCAATCTTGTCAGAAGCAGTGGTGGTCAGGGCAACGATGCCGTGGATGGGGACACCCATGTCAAGAGCAAGCTTGGCAGTCATGATGACCTGGATACCGCAACCCTGAGACTCCATGAATCCGTTTCGGGTAGTAGTGGTAGGACGAGACATCTCCTTAGGAGTACGCCCATGGGCAAACTCGTCAACGGTGTTGCTGGTGGCCTTCATGTTGGCGAATTCATAAGAACCTTCCTCACCGAGATCATCGAAGCCACCGACAAAGCAGACGCGAGCCTTACCCTCCATGATGGTCTCATAACCGGTGTCAATGGACTCAACAGCGGTAGCACAAGCACCGACAGGGGTCTTGATGGGTCCAGAAGAGGACATCAACAACATGTTAACCCAGGCAGCCATGGTGTTGATGAAAGACTCTTGGAGAATGTCGTTCTGCACTGGCTGGTCGAGGAAACGAGTGCGGTGCATGTCGCGGAGAGCGGCGGCTCCGCCCATACCGGAACCAACACAGTTGCCAACTTCGGAGACGTGGACGTACTTGTAGAACTCGTAGGGGTCGGTGATACCACAAGAAAGGAGAGCCTCGGCAGTAGACACAAGAAGGAACAGTGTGACAGGGTCAACTTGGGAGACGATATCCTCAGGAACACCATATCGCTTGGGGTCCCAGCCAGTGGGGATCTGACCAGCGACGAGACGATCGAAGCGAAGTGCCTTGGGGATCCAGAGAGAGGCACCCTTCCTGAGGCGAATGATGTACTCGCCGCTATCCGGGATCTCGAAGACCTCAACCTTGTCACCGTGCTCACGCTTGAACTCCTCGGCAGTCTCTTTAGAGGCCTCGAAGGGCTCAAGATCCTCCTCAATGACGACCTCGTGAAGCAGCTGCTTCTTGTTGGGGTCGTAGCCCTCGAACAGCTCAGGCTCGATCAGACGAATACCAGAGTGCTCAAGAACATACTTCTCATACTTGGGCTTGACGTCCTTGTCGTCGATGGGCTCACCAGTCTTGGCGTCAACCCAGCCGGAGTAAGGCTTACCCTTGATAAGACCATTGTGGTTCTTGATGAGACCCATGATCCAAGCCATCTCAACGCAACCCTCCAAGGAGAATTCGCCATAGGCCTCCATCTCCCATCGAGTTCGAGAGTTACCCCAAGGACCAACTTCAGCAAAACCAGTGACCACAACGACCTTCTCCAGGTCAACCATGCCTTTAAGATTCTCGTTGAGTGGCTCAATCTCGGTCTTCCAGTCAGGTCGGTTGGGGAAGTCAAGCTTGATGTTGGCACGAGGATCAATTGTCTTCTTCTTGTAAAGAACCTCGGAGGCGGCACCATTGACAATAGTATTCTCAATGGCACTCTCTTTGGCAACAGCACGGCGAACCTCGCTAGTCTCCATGATATCCTTGCGGAGCTTGGTCATGGTCTCGTTCAGATTAGGAATGAACTGCAGACCACCGTTTAGGTCAGCAAAGACAGGCTCATTCTGGCACAGATCAACCAAAGTGGGAGACATGAGACCAAGAAGGTTGAAAGCCATCTCCTGCTGAGAGAAAGTGCGGACGCCGAACGCCTCAACGCCCTCGGCAACGATGTTGTTACCAGACATGAGACCAGTTCCTCGGGTCCAGCCAATGACCGCACCGCAAATGGTGAGGTAGTTGGCCCAGCTCTCGGAGTGCCATCTGTTGAAGAGAGTCTCGAGGCCAAGCTTGGACTCGGAGTAAAGACCGTCATTGCCGAAGGTGCCGTGGTTAGGAGAAAGGGGCAGAACAACCTGAGCAGGTCGGGTCTCGAAGCCACGCTCAGTCTTTTGGGCCTTGACGCATCCGAGGAGACGAACAAGGTTGGTAAGCATGATACGATGGGCAAGCTCAGACTTGGAGTCAATGCTGTCAATCTCGCGACCATTCTCGGGGATAGCAGCGAAAGGAACGATGAAGTCGAGATCCCAGCCAAGACCCTCCTTGGTATCGTAGATGTACTCGACGAGGGCCTCAACGTCTTGCTTGCTACCCTGATTGAAGGGAACGACGACAATCTGGGAGCCGCGAGAGCCATAGCGGGTGTACATGGCCTGGTAGTACTCGGTGACCTCGCGGGAGAAGCGGCTGGTGGTGACAATGACCTTAGCGCCACCGCTGATGAGACCCTGAAGGACCTCGGCACCGATAGAACCGGCACCAGCACCAGTCATGAGAACGTGCTTGTCCTGGAAGGTGACACCAGACTTGGCAGCATCCTCAAGACAGTTGAGGTATACGCCGGTAAGCTTCTTGCTGTAGTCCCAGCCATGGAGACCCTTCTTCTTGAGGTGAAGGAAGGGAATGGTCTCAACCTTACCCTTGCTCTGGCTGTTCTTCAGAACCTTTCGGCCCTTGTTGTCCTTAGGAAGGATCTGGCTCTCGTTCATGGCAAGCGAGCGAAGGACCTCGCCATAAAGGCTCTTGATCTCAAGCTGAGAAGTCTTGGACAGCTTGTGCTGCTGCTTGATGAGTCTGTAGATGCGAGAAAGGTCGCTCTGGACCTTGGTGCGGTTGCCGTACTCAGAGATCTTGCCTCCCTCAGCCATTTGCTGGACATAATGCTCGAGCTTGCGACAGCTGGCACGCGGGACTTCCTCGTAGTTGAGGTTGCCCCGGGCGTCGACTGTTGTCCTGGGTCCGGTAGGGAGGGAAACATCCTTGTACACAGGGGCGACATCAAGAACATCCTTGCAGTTCTCGAGAAGCTGCTGTCCGAGCTCCTGAGCAAGCTTGTAAGTCTCACCTCGCTCAGTGGGACAGTTGTCAATATGATACTGCATGAAGTCGAGGAGCT